AGGACCGAGTCCCCGACTGGTACCCTAGGACCGACCTTTGTTAACTGGGACTCCCCAGAGGAGTTTGGGAGGGAAACTCAGACAGACTCGACCCTCCAGAAGTATAGGGACAGAGCGGATACTGGAGAGGAAGGATTAGATGGAGAACGGTATGAGTGGGTGGGGGACAGGTTATATAGGATCCCCAAGCTTTCCCCGAAGAGTGTTGCCCCTCCGCCGAATCGACAGCTGGTAGTGCCCGCGAAATACCGGCAGGAGATTCTGCGGATAGGGCATGATGTTCCGTTAGCTGGACATCTAGGTTCCCGCCGCACAGCCTATAGGATCATGCAGAACTTTTTTTGGCCAAACTTCAATCAGGCTGTGCGGACATACTGCAGTACGTGTGACACATGTCAACGGATAGGAAAGCGGGGGGACCACCCAAGAGCTAGGCTTATGTCTATGCCTATCATTGGGGAGCCCTTTGCCCGCATAGCCGTTGACATTGTGGGTCCACTGGCCAGGGCTAGTCCATCCGGGAAGAAATATATTCTCACCGTGGTGGATTATGCCACTCGCTATCCAGAGGCAGTAGCGCTGTCTAATATAGAGGCAGAGACAGTTGCTGATGCCCTGGTTAGGATTTTTACCAGAGTCGGGTTCCCTCAAGAGATTCTCTCTGACCAGGGAACCCAATTCACCGCTGTGCTCACCCAGCAACTGTGGAAGGTGTGCGGTATTAAACCGCTGCTTAGCTCACCTTACCATCCACAGACTAACGGTCTCTGCGAGCGATTTAATGGCACCCTCAAACAGATGCTGAGGACCTTTTCTGACACTTGCAGAGACTGGGAGCGATTCCTGCCTCATCTGTTGTTTGCCTACAGAGAGGTGCCTCAGGAATCTACTGGGTTCTCCCCCTTTGAGTTGCTATATGGGAGAAGGGTCCGCGGACCCCTAGATCTCATTAGAGGCCACTGGGAGGGGGAGACAGAGCAGGAAGGGACCCCCATAGTGCCATATGTTCTGGAACTCCGGGACCGCATGGAGAAACTGTCCCTAATGGTAAGGGAGAATCTCCAGGTGGCTCAGGGGAGACAGAAGAGGTGGTACGATCGGGGTGCCCGACAGCGAGTTTTCCAGGTTGGGCAGAAGGTACTAGTGCTCAAACCTGTGAAGGCGAACAAGATGCAGGCATCTTGGCAGGGCCCGTATAAGGTGTTAGCACAGATATGTGATACTACCTACCTTATAGCCAGCTGTTCAGATGAAAGGATCCAGTGATCCTTCCATGTGAACATGCTAAAGGAGTATCAGGAGAGACCGGAGAATGTCGCTGCAGTATGTGCCCCTGCTGCAGATGATACAGAAAGTTTACCCTTGCCAGACCTGTTAGAGAGGGACCCCCAGACGGATCTTACTAGCCTAGTACAGCTAGGGGACAGATTGAGCGCTACCGAGAAGGGCCAGGCAAGACAGCTTTTGTGGGAGAAGCAGGCGACCTTCTCCCAAGAACCTGGTTACACTACCCTAGCTGTACACAAGGTAGAAACCCCTGGACAGAACCCCCTGCGACAACCCCCTTACCGTATCCCTGAAGCAGTCCGGGAGGGAATGCGGAAGGAGATACAGGAGATGACCCAGCTGGGGGTCATCGAACACTCCGATAGCCCTTGGGCCTCGCCTGTAGTCCTGGTACCCAAGAAGGATGGGACCACCCGATTCTGTGTGGACTACAGGCGTCTCAATGAGCGGACCACCACTGACGCCTACCCGATGCCCCGGGTAGATGAATTGCTAGATCGCATTGCCAGGGGACGCTATCTGACCACCATAGACCTGTGCAAAGGCTACTGGCAGATTCCCCTGGCCGAGGATGCTATCCCCAAGTCGGCCTTCGTCACCCCATTTGGCCTGTACCAATTTAAGGTCATGCCATTTGGGATGAAGAATGCCCCGGCTACCTTCCAGCGCATGGTGGATAGACTTCTTGATGGATTCCAGGAATTTGCTTGTGCATACCTGGATGACATTGCGATCTACAGTGAGTCCTGGGAAGAACACCTAGTACATGTAGGGGTAGTGCTGGACAAGATTCGGGCCGCTGGCCTGACATTGAAGCCAGAGAAGTGCCATTTAGGCATGGCTGAAGTGCAGTACCTGGGTCACAGAGTAGGGTGTGGGAGCCAGAGACCAGAGCCAGCCAAGATAGAGGCAGTTGCCAACTGGCCCACACCTATCACCAAGACCCAGGTGTTAGCCTTCCTAGGGACAGCAGGGTACTATAGACGCTTCGTCCCCGATTACAGCTCTATTGCTAAACCCCTGACTGACTTGACCAAGAAAAATCTTCCTAAGCAGGTCCTGTGGTCTCCGGCTTGTGAAGCTGCGTTCCAAGCACTCAAACAAGCTCTTGTGAATGCCCCTGTCCTGGCTGCCCCAGTCCCTAACAAACGTTTTCTCGTCCATACAGATGCTTCCATGTATGGACTGGGGGCTGTGCTGAGCCAGGTCGGGGAAGATGGAGGAGAGCACCCTGTCGCATATCTCAGCAGGAAGCTGTTACCCAGGGAAGTGAGTTATGCGGCAGTGGAGAAGGAATGTTTGGCCCTGGTGTGGGCATTGAAGAAGCTAAGCCCGTATTTATATGGACAGGAATTTTCCCTTGTGACGGACCACAATCCCCTTGTCTGGCTTAACCGGGTCTCTGGAGACAATGGCAGACTGCTGAGGTGGAGTTTAGCACTACAGCCATATAACTTCACCATCACTTATCGACCCGGTAAGCAGAATGGGAACGCAGATGGATTGTCCAGGCAAACCGACATCCTCACCCCATCTTAGTCCGGTCATCCCCACGTTGACCCGCTAAAGGGTCAAGCCGGGTCTGCCGGAGTGTCCCACAAGGGGGGAGCCGTGTGACAGATTCATCTGCATTGTTGGTTCGTCTGTTTCCCTTTGTTCGCGGAATTGCCTGTTCCTATACCCCCGTTCGTGTATTTGCAAAATGCCGATTGAAACTACCGAACGAACGACCACCCAGGAGAGGAGTGTGCTGCTGGTTAACCTCTTGGCCCCAATTAGAACGTTGTGGTTAACCGCAGACACCTCTCCATTCCATTCGTACGGGTGGTCGTCGTTCGCATGTCGACCACGAGGCAGCGGCCATTTTGGGACATACGAACACAGAGCGGTGTTCGGTACAAACTGTATGGAACTAAAAACGGACACTTAAACTACCGAACACCGCTGAAAAGCTGCTGCCTACCTTCCTTTTCGACAAGGCATGCGAACGTCGGTCGTTCGGGAGTTTTGTTCAGTCGTATGGACTTTTACCCCGACAGCCATCCCATGGAGTCATTCGTATACCGAAGGACTGGTGAAAGACTTTGACTCCATGGCGATTCGACTAGATACATCGGATCTGAGCGCTATTCGGTGAAAACATGCCCTCAGATCCAGGCTGTCTGGGGATACGTTACACGAACCATATGCATTCGGTATTTCTGTAGTTGTGTATTTTAATGTCCTTTTGTCACTGTAACTTAAGATGGCGATGGTCTCTACCTTGGGAGATAATTAGGTTTCTTCACCAATTATCTCCAAGGTAAAGAAGACGGAATAATGGGCAAGATGGGAAGGGCTATTATTGAAGCCACTGCGATTGGCTACTGTACAATATGTGTTACAGTCTTCCACAAGGTCCCCTCGGGGAGTGTCCACCTTGTGGAGACCTGCATAAATACCGGGCAGGTAGCCCCATTAAACAGATCTTCATTTGACCCTCAAGACGGAGCTTGGTCTCGTTTGTGGGGGGAATTATTACTGGGACAGCGCTTTCGTTATTTCTAGCTGTGGAAGGCGTTCGACTGTTTGGCTGATCGGGAGTTGCCGTGTTCGCGGACTTCGTTCGGGAGTTTGGCGATCGGCTGGATTTAAACCTGCATTTCGGGAGGAGGGGATTATTGCCTAAACGGCGGCTTCATCTACCCGACGGTACGTGTCGTAACAACTGGTCAAGACATGATTTTTTATTTTTTTAAGATGGTTACTACAGTAGCATGTAAACTGGGAACAATGAAAATTGTGTCAGCAGGGACAGGTGAGCAGAGGGATAAAGAGATTTTGCTAATTAGAGAGGTGAAAATAAAGAACATAAGGGAGAGCATTCTCTAAGGAGAATAAAGCTTATATTATAAATAAGGAAAATTAGATGAGGTCACATGAGAGAGGAGGGGTCAGGGGTTGTAGGTACGGAGTGTGATAGATGAGCAGGTGATGAGGGTTTGAGAGACATAATTAGTGTGTTTGTTTGCAAAACCCACACATCTGAGGTTACAACAGTTCATGCCTGGTAAAATAGTTCTAGTCTGCCCCCCAAATGGGAATATGAGGTACTCACCATAAGGTCGTCTACCAGAGACTGACCCCCCACAGTCCACAGGAGCTCCAGGGGCGTCCTCAAAAAGGGAAGAACGGGGTATAATTACACTCCTGTATAGTTCTTTGTGTATTAAACGAGCCTCTGCTGGCTCTGAATGAATGAACCCTGAAATCCACGGCTGGACATACGGCTCCTACCTCTCCCCCCAAAAACCTTAGGTGCACACACTCTTTTCAGAGAAGTTTTGTGCTTTGTCAAATGCTGTAAATGTCTTAACATAAAATCATTGATAAAGGATTCTCCAAAAAGAAGGCCTTTAGCAGCCGGTCCCGGCTCATTGGTTGCCAGTTTGGACTAAATTTAAAAAAAAAAAAAAGATTGCCTTGAGGCGTTCGGTGGACATTGCTGTTATCACGTTTTCCGCCATGCAAACCAAACGTTGCAACCAACCCTTTGCCACCTTGAAATCAAAGGCCATCACACCCGATTGGGCGTATTCAACAAGCTTGCAATAGGGCCCAGGGTATTCAAGAACTTGTCTTCGCAGTTTTTCAGTGAGAAATCAAGACCTTTCCTTGGTTTCCATCTCGACTTATTCATGAAGTGAACCAACGGCAGGTTAACATCTCAGGTTTTACCCACCAGATCCGGTGGCTTCTTGAGACTCAGCTAAACAAGGGTGGCACAGATTATGTGGGTCCTGGAGACCGCTGTCTTCGTTCGCTTCAGAAGGCCCAGAGCCCTGAGCCTTAGCCTGGGCCAAAGCAGCTGGTTTCTCATCCGAGCCAAAGTCGGTGCCGTCATCACTACAGTGGTCCACATAGGGATCCACATAGTCCTCATCCATGCTCTGGTCCAAATCGGACGAATCATCGTGGGCACAGGCCCTTTTCCACGATCTGGCTGATTTTGCCCGACACGGGGCTCTGTTGCGTGGTGGTAGCATGCCATCATTGACAGCCTTATATGTGTCATTCAGGACAGGACGAACCTGTTCATCTGGAGGGGAGATAGTATTTTTCAGTTTACACAAGGCCTTGCGGCCTGGTTCTGCTAGAATTGTCAACTAATGGGGCCTGATTACCCTGACGGCCTGGGTGATAGATTGTGTAATGGAAGATGACATAACACCCATTGCTGAGCTGCTTATTAATGGATTGAGCCATGGTGGAGTTGAGGAGTGATTGGAATTCCTCCAATGCCATTAGACTGGCGTCATCCCCGCCAGATGGGGAAACCCCAGGCAAGGGAAAAGCAGAGCCAGAAGGCCCATCACCCTGAGACTGCATAATCAGTATAGGTAGAAACACCTAATCAATACAAAGTAATAGAATTTATGTGCTACTATATAGTAGATTAGGATCAAAGTCACAGTACTTGGTAAAATGCTACTAGTACGTAGTATAATTACACTCCTATGGCATGGCACTAAGTCAGTAATATAAAAACCTAAGGAGAAACGAACTAAGACACAAAGGTGGGGACAGGACAGAGTAATCCACACACCACAATTTAATCACTGTTGACAAAAGCAAACCACTATACAGTCATGGAGTGCACCAGGGAGAGGTAGAAAACGCTCCAGCGAAAGGGAACACAATTTTCAGGCTGTTGCGGGCCGACAGGAAAAATATATGCAGAGACACTCTCGCATGCGAGGTCCAATGCGCCCCCCACCCCACCCAACTGAGCTGACAGAAAATAGTGGCCGCTTGAGTGGGAGGGCGGGCAAGAGGCTGCCTGGCCAGGGAGGGGAGGAAGAAAGTAAATGGCAGGGAAACAAGAACCTGAAATAAAATAATAAGAAAAAGGGGTAGAGGCAGCACTCCCAGAGACACAGAAACAATTCAAATAATGATATATTAAATAAAATACAGCACAAAAAGCACATACATTCCAATCAAATCACACTCAAATGGCAGTTAGAAAATGGAATACTTAGCTGGTCTGATGGAGCAGCAGAGA